TCACGCAGAAGTAAGGTCGCAAAAGGGAAAACTGAGCTATACCAATTAGGACGTACTACTCATTTGTTATTTTATTTTATTTTGCGATGAAGGGCGTACTACTCATTTGTTATTTCAAAAAGATAGGGACATTCCAACACCGCCATACACACATTTCCAAACGGAGGAAATTATCCTGCTAAAAGTTCCTACTGCCTCCCAGAGGAGTTGCGGTGGACCGAGCAGCAGCCGGACAACACTGCACCACAATGGCGGAGGCCATGGGCGTGCTGTGGAAGATGTTCACCGGCCAGGGCGTCCCCCGACGCCGCCATCGATGTCCACCTGCCGCCTGCCGGCGTGCCGCGGTGGTGCTGACCGGCGTCTACAACCTCTCGGAATGAGACCAGCTCCGGGTAATTGGCTGAGGCCAAGATCTCAACCACCACACCGGCGATCAATGCATGAGACATACTCCTACTACATCACGGAATTATTGGCCGGTCCAGCTGACGTGTCCCACCCTGACTAACCCTGCTTGCAGGTGCCGGTTGGCGCGCGGGCCTACTTCACCTGGCCGCTACAATGGCTACGTCCATGGGGCTTATTTTGCTGGTATGAACTCCCCCGATACTCTGATGAACAGCGTATTCAACACTGTGGAGTTCAATGTCCGTCCCAAGTATGACGACCAGCAGATCGCAGAGGTACATAGCCTCTTTGATCTGCATGATATCAAAAGTATCCAAATAATAAATGTCACACGTGTGAATGAAGCACTCCGGTCCTGATGTTTTTTACAGCTAAAATAGTCATCCGAAAAGAAAAAACAAACAAAAAACTGAAACTTGCTATAAAAGAAAGTTGCTATCCTCGGTCACTAAAACAGCCATAAAAATGTTCGGAGTTGTCATGTGTTTGTGCCACACGTGTGGAACTTATCAGGGTATAGGAATAGAAAAAACCAAGAGCAGGGAGGATAACATTGCATGGTACCCGGAGAGTGATGGACAATTTTCATCCAGACCGGCCTACGCAGCGCTGTTCGACCAAAGTAGTTGTAGACTTGTTGCGGTGTCAAAACTGTTGTGCTGAAGGTTATCTATGTCCCGCTTTATAGATAAAGCAAGGATTCATATAATTATAGACTTGCTGCGGTGCTAAAGTTGTTGGACTTGATTGTGTTGTGGCCCCAGCCTTCGTTCATGATTCGGAGTTTTGATGTTGGTTGTATGGATCGTTACTTTATCTATAAAGCAGGGCGAAAGCCTATTGCAAAAACAGGGTCGGCCCTGGGGCATGGGCAGAGGGGCGGCGGCCCAGGGCCCAGACCGAAGGGGGGCCCATGATGTGTATACATATAGAGTATAAGCAAAAAAATAGATAAGGAAAAAATTGTGTGGAAAAATAAATGAGATGTGCTTGGCCCGTCAGGTAGCTAGGTAGAAAGTTAAAAAAAAGGTAGCTAGGTAGAGATTAGCGAAGCATCAGCCACGACGGCCGCAGCGCACGCGTATACATGTGAAACAAATCAATCGGAAGATCTGGCTTGTGCCTTCAATCGTCGGTTCGTCTTTCGTCGTATCGTCGGCCCGTCGCTCCGCCGCTAAGCACCTTGGCCGCTCGTTGTCGCTGCTGCGCACGGCAGTCCGGCAGACTGTTGTTGCGCTGTGCGGCCGTGCCGGCAACCCGGCCATCCGGCAATAGGTTAATACGTTATACGTATGTGAGCGTCAGGACTCAGGATAGTACGTATCCACGACTCCTGATCCATTCATCGATCCCTCAATTTGAGTAGTTTCTTTACTAGGTATTCAACTATCCATCTGAAGTTTCAAAAAAAATTATGTATACTCTTCTACATAGTATACATTCAAACATCCTAATCTTTAGTCATTCTATGTCCATATCTAGTGTTTCGATCATCCGATCTATAAATTTCTAATTCTTTATATACTCTTTACTTCTATATAATTTTAAGACACAGCATGCTACGTTGCCTAAGAAGCTTTTTCGGATGATAACTCATCTGATGTTGATCTTGATAGTGCCCTTAATGACTTTGCATCAAGAAACGCCCGAAGAAACCTTTTTTGAAGCAATGGAGTATTATTGTTGTCAATGGAGTGAGTCGAATTTGTTTCTTTTTTGAGGTAATCATGTCATTTTAGTTTTGTTTTGCTATCTTTTGAGTATTTCTGTCGTAATATGGCATTGTCCAATAATTATAATAGTCAAATTTCAAACTAAAGATGTGTGATTAAAAGATTACTCTTATATATATGTTTATGTATCACACGAACACATACATATATATGATCTTACGACATAGGGGCCCATGTCGTCGAGTTCGCCTAGGGCCTCCCAAAACACAGGGCCGGCCCTGTGCAAAAAAGATTAGTTGTTTGGCAAAGTAATTGTGGCCACCTGGCCATCAATAAAAGTAGGGTGGGGCGACGATACCTACGCGGTAGCACAGCCGGTCACAGGAGGCAGAAGCATGCGCTCACGCCGACGATGATTTTGGTGGCTGGAGCGGCCGTGAGCCGGTGAAAAGGCTGAAACGCTAATGTCGGCTTCATGCGGCTGGTCTTGGGATCCTAATGGATGCTAATTTCTTTGTGAATTAGGTGAAAGAAAAAAGCTAACTGTAAAAGCCACACTATCACAACCTGCTTCTCAGCTAAAGTACGGTCGGCCCTACAAACAACTTCGAGTTGTGAGGTCACAACAGATGCTAAATAGTTGTTTGTTTGGGTTAAAAATAGTCATCCAAAGTTGCTCCTGGAGGCCCAAACAAACAGGACCGAACATCATCCGGCAAACGCAACGCTGGCCAACCGGCCTCTTGTCGTCGCGACGCCTAGCCAAATGACCCTCAAGGCCTGGTGGCCCGATGTCGCCACCTCCAGCCGGATGGCCCTCTCCAACCACCCGACACACGTCGCACCAAGCCGTGCGCTCTTGCGGGCCCGGCTCACGTGAACCAACCAGCCCGGCCACCTGAGCCTGGTGTGGGGCGAGCGACGCTGACAGGCGGACCCAGCCTCCTCGTCACGTGTGGGGCAGCATGCGAGGGCAGACGCGGGTGCGGCCGAACACAAGACGCTGACAGGTGGCCCCGGCCTTTTTGTCACGCGCGGGGCGCGCGCTGGCGCGACCAAAGCACCACATGACAGCGGCCTTGACCGCGCCCGTGGCCCACCCGTCATGGACCCCCGAGGCAAGTCGCCTGGGTGCGCGTCATCTGAGAAGATCAGACGGCACAGAGAGCCAGCCGCGGGAGGCCGGCACCAGACGGATGGTGCGGAGGCTCTCCGGAGAGGCAGGTACTCCAACATTCTTTATAGGAGTAATTTGTATTCCGCGCTAACAATATATGCATCCAAGATAGCTTCATTCGTCTTTTGTTATTTTGAAAGATTCATGGAGGAGGTTTGATGAGTCATTTCGGCGTGAAGAAGATCAATGATGTGCCCGTTGAACACTTCTTTTGGCCGAGGATGCGATGGGATGTTGAGAGATTCATTGTTGGATGCATTACATGCTAAAAAGCTAAGTCGCGACTTAATCCTCATTGTTTATAGGTCTCTTTCTGTTCCTAGTGTACATTGGGAAGATATGTCCATATACTTTGCGTTCGGATTACCTCAAACAAAGAAGGGGAGGGATAGTATTTTCGTAGTCGTCGACAGATTTTTCAAGAAGATGATTTTTATACCTTGTTACAAGAGTGATGACCCTATACATGTTGCTTATTTATTCTTTTGTGAAATTGTTCGTCTATGTGGTGTGTCAACTACAATTATTTCATATCATGGATTCGTCGTACTAATTTTCTTAGCCACTTTTGGAGATGTTTATTGGTTACGTTGTACTTGGTGTTATATGTCGTGCACCCACTAATTTGTTACCTCTTTCATCTTTAGAGAAGGTTAATTTTGATGCTACGAAATACGCCGAACTAATGTTGAAATGCATGAGATGATGAAGGAAAACATAGAGTGCATGAATGCTAAGTACAAACTTGTGGGTGATAAGGATAGAAAGCATGTTATGTTTAACTTATCTGGGTGCATTTACATAAAGATAGATTTCCTGAGTTGCACAAATCTAAACTAATGCCAGGGGATGATGGTCCATTTAAGGTCTTAGAGAAAAGATAAATGATAATGCATACAAATTTGAGTTGCAGCATAAAAGGATGCATGCAGGAGGGGGATAACAAAACATCCAGTACCTATGCCTATATACATGATGTTTGTTATACAGCAAGCTCTTAGATCAATCATCAATGCATACGAGTATGGCACATTGAACAACAAAATAGTACATGTATGATATACCACATATTTGCTTGATTGTTTTACAGTACATCACAGAACTCCGACAAGACCTCTGTGAATCAAAATTAGCTTCCTTTCACTATATCACTTGTGTTATACATATACAGGTCAGCTGTGCATATACAACTCTACTTGACTTCCTACGAGGGTAAATGGGTAAGGCCGTATCAGAAATGTTTTTTTTTTTAACGAACTGCTTCTGAAACAATCTATTCACATAGTTAACTTTCAGGCTCTGCTGTCTGTGTAAGAACTGCAAACTGTTGGCAGCAGCTAAAGCATGTCTCACCACAAGCAGATGGCAACAGATCATGCCGATTCCCCTCTCTGTTTGGGCTCTTCAAACAAATTTTGATGGAATGAGTAATCTACTGTCATACTGTACAGAGGTTAGCTTCCACCTACAAATTTCCCGCACACAGAAAAATCAGCGTCATTCTTTCCCGTGGCAAAACAAATAGCGCTGATTCATACAGAGCAATAAAAACAGTATGCTTTCTGACAGTGCCACATAAAAAGTTATACCAGATTCATTGCATTTAGTTTCCACTCGGTGGTAATAATTCATTTGACATGGAAGCAATGAAATGCATCATATAAACTTACTTCCTGGCATTGGTTTGATAAGAACTCTGCTATAGGTTAACGTGACATTAGAAACCACAATAATGAACACTAAGGATCAATAGCTGCATTGAAAAGGGTACCGTTTCTTGACGTAAGATCCTTCTCGACTAAGGAAAAGAGCTCCTTCAATCTATTCGAGGTGTTGGACATGATATTTTTTGTGATCTTCTTTTGTTGCTTGGTGCTTTTCAACCAGGCAATCCCCAATAAAACCTGCACGCTGCAGGTGTTTGGTTTTGACGGTATGTTCGCCATATGATACTTTAGCTGGAGCTGCAAGTTAAGAACCATTGTGATCAACAGTATTCTATCTACCAGTTCAGCAAAAGGATTGACAGAACAAGCATACAGTAATACCACTTCAGTTCTTATGTTTTAGCTCAGAGCTAAGGTTACAACTATTCAGAATGGTCACAAACTCTTGATAATGGTTAGCATAGTACAAACCATTTAAGAATAAATGTGGGAAGGGGGAGTCTTACATTAAAGTAGTCCCCAAGTAGAACACCTTGGAGGGTCATCACCTCTTCAATGGCCCAGCCATCTTGGTTCACTAGGGCATACTTCTGCTGAGTGGTGCTTGCTTCTCCTCCATATCGAGACAATGCTTTGTCAAACTTGTAGCTGATTTGCCGCTTGAATATATTTCTGCTTACAAGTTCCCATTCTGTTGATGAGTAGTCCAGACAGCCAGTCTTTTGCATCACTTTGTGTTCCAACTGACCTCCTGAAAACATCTCCATCAAGGACTCAACCTGAAAATTTAGATATATGTAAGGAATCCCAAAACAAATTTTAGTGTGAAAATGAATTGTGACAAGCTCACGCAAAATAAAAGTGGCACTCACGTCCACAGAAAGAACTGATGAGAATATTTCAGACATTTTGACATCCTCATGGGTAAATAAGGATCCACATTCTTCCGCCTGGAGTTCTTTTGGTTCAGACTCCTCAATTACCTCTCCTTTCTGTTCTTGACCCGGTGATCGCATTTTCCAAATCCCCATGATTATTCTGTCAGATAAAGATTTCTTGGTGTGATACATTCATATGCAAACTAGCAGAATAGCTTAGTACAGGATGGGATAGCAAGATCCGATCAACTATCTGCAGAACCATAATCAGTAGAAAATAGAAACCTATTGTTACTACATTTTCTTATTTGTATACCGTGAGGTTGTGAGCGTATAGAAGAACCTGAATACAGTGGGCCAGCCTTGGGCAGATTCCTTTTTTTTTGGAAACAGTGGGCCAATTTTGACTTGCTTGGCTCAAGGGACTAGACTAGTCAAGATTAGTCAGCTACTAGTTAACCAGTCGCTCGGCTGTGCCAACCAATAGAGTCGAGGTGCCCAGTTAACACCCAGGTTACGACTGGTACACTTGTCAACGCGACTAGTCGCTCGACGCTTAATATTGGGTTCAAATCCCCCAAAAGACTAAAATGTTAAAGTTGTCCTATCTTATAATGGGAATTATGCTGAAATGTGTCCATTTATAGTTTTCGACCTTTCGTCACTGCAGGTCAAGCCGGCTTTGGGCTTGTAATCTGCAAACCAAAGCCACATTAGGCCAGCGTACCCATGAACATGTTATCCTTGAACTTCACAAAATAAGATCTAGAGTTATCTTATTTTATTTAGAAATTTTGATCTGAAGTTCTGAAGAATAAAATATATGCTTGGCCTAGATGTCTCACTGGACCTCAAAAACAAACAAATGAAAGGTACCTGTGAGCATCATTGAACGAAACAAAGGACTGAAAATGGAACTTGAGTCTTCCATGATGATCTGTTGCCTTGGCACCATGTTTTGCTTCTGACCCTCTATCCTTTCTAAGGATAACCATCAAGGATGGGCTGCCAATTGACAGTGTAGGAGGGATAACCTGGATATCATCAACGTCTTCCCACAGAAAGAAAAACTTGGTCTTGTGACCAAATATATTAGAGTAGAATCCAATTATTCTTGGAGAAAAAAATACGCGTCCCTGTAAAAGAGTCAGTTCTCTGTAAATATTGACAGAACAAAATGGAGAAAGTACAAAATATTGGCAACTGTCAAGTGAGTCACAAACGAATGCAAAACGATTCTCCTTGGTAGTATGGTACATACATGTACAGGTCTACTTGGTACAATTAAAATAATAGTAGCATCTTTGACACATAAGTAAACAATCAGAAAAGTAAATACCTGAAGTGGCATCTTCCGTTTTAGATGACAGGTGAAATCATCGATGAGGAATTCTTCAGGAGGGAGGTTAAAGAGCTTTCGGAATGCTAAATTTGTTTGTGCTGACCGCAAATTTATCTACACATTATATCATATGTAATTTCAGAAATAGAAGAGATGATGAAAAACAAATCAGACAAAAAGTTAGGTCCTTACCTTCTTACCGACTTCATTCCCCATCTTTGCCAGGTAATTCAGAACAACTTCAGTTCCTCTCGAGTTGTTCAAAAATATTCTCAAATGTAGCTTAGGGTTGCTTGCTGGATCACACTTCCCATCAAGAGGAACCCATATGTCCATTAAATCTGACAAATTGCTCTTCAGGAAGTTCACTTCGGCGTGACCAATGGGAGCTTCATCTAATTGATTCGAATCATGAATAGCTACATCCATCCTTGATGGTGGATCATCCATTGCATCAAATTCAAATATCTCTAGAAATTCAAGCATCAATGGGTCAGCTACACTATGCATATGCGAAGGTCAGTACCGTCAGTTCATGCAATACTGTGTAGCACAAAGGATCGGCTGCTCTTCCCAGCTGAGAACAAAGCAACATGAAGGGGAAAGAAACTAACCGTTCCATTTTGGATCAGATGCGTGGAATTTAATTGAGCTTGTTTTCCTCTTCGTGTTGCAGGTAAAAACAGCATATAGGTCAAATGGTTTAGATGAACCAGCAGATAGTATACCAGTACCCTCAATAAGTGCAACAGTCAGTAACCAGCCATCTCCATGAGCTTTGACTCCATGATCACTACCTAATACAGGAAGAAGAAAAAGACGAATATTGCTCAACTGTTACCGAAATTTAAAGCAAATCAAGTAGCACTACAATACCAGAACATATGTGTAGAGCGAAATGTCCATTGGTTGCAGTAGAAGACAATTCACCTCATCTCCTTTTAGAATAACACTTTCACTCTTAGAGCATATCTATATCTATACCATCTATTTCTATTCCATTATATAGTGTATGAATAGCTTTGAATATCGTCCGTTGGATAAAGTCAATCTGACGTGAGAGAGATGGCAAATCCGAGCACTTGTGGCCGTCGGATTTCTCTTTACTACACCGGATTCTGCCACATATACTATCTAGAAGATTCTACGGTTATACTAAAGCCCAATGGATATTATGCACAAATCACGAAACACACTTCTATTTTATTCTAGACTCTTCTATAATTAAACACTCCTAAGTTCTTCTTTTCTAACAGAACTGTCATTGATTTCTACTTTTGTGAAAAAAAATCATTGTGTTCAAGGCTACGGCCTTACATCATAAACCACATTTATCTTTGTGATGCAGCATTAGGTATTCATGTTATTTTCTATTGAAAATTCAATACGAAGTAATTAAAAGAGACTGCCTAGACAAAATGTGCTCGATATATTTTACCCGAGTTTTGTGTAGCATATACGATGCAGTTTTCAAGTATTTTGTAGCTATAATTTGATTTATTTTTTATGGAATGGACTAAGAGAATTAAATATGCATCTTATACTTGATGCATGTGCCTCAAATTTTCATTTGACTATTACAATTCAGTATGTCGATCTTTGGTCGTACTTTGATTATCTAAGCTCTCACGTGCAATGCACATATTACTTACTAGAAACTTCCTCCGTCCGGAATTACTTGTCGCTCAAATGGATGTATTTAGACATATTTTAGTGCTAGATACATCCGTTTGAGCGACAAGTAATTCCAGGCGCAGGGAGTACAACAGAAAGAGAACATAAAACTAATCAAGAATATACAGATTCATGTGCAACAGTTTTGAAGTAGATAATAACATAGGGCCTAAGATATCCACCTCTTTGTCTCCATGCATTCAAGAAGCGCTTTATTACTTTCAGGATGGTCTGTCCCTGAAGGATCAAGACAGCACAAACCACAACCTCTCCAATTGAATCTGGAAGGTCAATGCCAAAATATTCAAGCCCATTCATCACTTTGGGCCTTGATAAATGAAGGTGAACTATAACATATATCCCTATGATAACAGAGAATATGAATGTGAAGTTCCCAAGGAAGCGGACAATCAACCTCCAGCTTGGTTCTTTATGTGCTTGTAGTGAGGCTAAAATCTTTGCTTTGTTTGAATTGGCATCATCAAGCTCAGCTACTTTAAACCTTTGGGACAGTACTTCAGAAAATTGTGCAAAACCTTCTGACATGCCTTGTTTTGCACCACTCTCAATCATTCCTTTCATCATTGTGCTCTGAAGAAAGTTGATCCGCCAACTTACAGTAAGATGTGCTGTTTGCTCTTCAGATGATAACTGGGGACCTGGCGTTATACAGTACAATATCTCTATCTTGAAACAACTGCCATAAGGAACATCAGGAGTGCTAACAATAGACAAAACAGCGAAAGAATTCCCAGCTGCTTTTAAGTATTTCTGCTCTTCTGTGGCTTTGCAAGCTTTAACCAGCTTACTAGCGGCCTTTATGTAACTTAATGTTCTTCGCAAACAACCATCGTTGCTATCGATCTTCCATGGTTCAATCTGAAATCCACTTGTTCCTTGAAGCTCTGCTACTGCTGGCCAGAAATCTGAATTTGGAGTAAACAAGAGGGAATTCAGTCCAGCTGGTGCGATAACATAAGATTCGTCAACTAGAACGCCGTTAGACAATTTTGCTGGCATTTCACAGCCTTGATCTTTGGACTCCATGATTTTCAGTAGCTCATCAAGGTTTGACTCGGATGGCGTGCCATTCTCGGGACTTTCACGGTCTACAGAGCAAACTTTTGGCTCTTCGGACTGCTCCACCACCGACTCGGCGTCAGAGGCAACGATGGAAGGCAGATTAGTATCAGCAGGTTTCCCAAAGAAATAGCGAGACAAGACCTCTACCACCGACGATGTATTCGCCATCGCATCATTACAAACAGCGGTTCCAGGTTCAGTGACTGCTTGGTCAATGCTGGTCTGGGGCGGTTGGTCTACAGCACCATCCCCCAATCGTTCCGTACTTCCCTGCGATGATCGGTCCAAACTGGAAAGGGCTGACATGTCAATGTAGCTATTGCTGGTTGACAAAGCTCCATCTTTGTTCCCAATTGACCTGTCTGAACTGGACGCCATGCCATCCGAAGTGGGTTGTGGTAGCTGGTGTGATTCTTCGGACACGTGCGCGCGCGTAGACAAGGATATGCGCAGGCAAATTTCCCCTGCACATGGAAGAAATTCAAATTAAATGGTGCCAAGATTACAACATATCTTAGAATATGATATCTAAGACATCTTATATACCTGTGCGTGCATGTCACAATTGCTTAGTGCTTACACAAATTCAAAACGAAACCATAAGAGAGGAGAGGGGGAAACGTGGAGGAGATGAATGCGGTGATGGGCAAGGCAATAATAATAGCATACCGCGTTCTTTCTTCTTGGACTTCTTGCTCTTGGGCTGGAGCTGGTACCAGGCGGTGCCGAGGGAGAGGTCCGGGGCCTCCATGACCATGGAGAGCGGCACCTTGACCTTGCCGAGGAGGTCGTTGGTGAAGTACTTGTCCTCGTTGAGCACGGATACGGAGAGCTCCTCGGTGACGTCGCCGACGAGGAAGCTGAACTCCTCGTCCCAGACGGGGGTGAGGCTCTTCTTGACGACGGCCGTCTTGGCGCGGCGCTTGCCGAGCTGCAGCTTGACGAAGGGGTCGCTGGAGCCGTTGAGGTGCACCGGCAGCAGGCCCCGCGCCTCGACGACGCGCACCAGCAGCTTCATCGACGACCCGGCAATCTGCCGAGCGCTCCCCGCGCACTCCGCCTTCCCCACCGACGACGTTAGGCTCTTGAGCTTCGTCATGCGCGGATCGCGGCGGCGACCATCAAATCAAATCAAAATGCGAGCAGACATGCACGATCGATCGATCGATCGATCGATCTTTCCAAATCTTTTGAGCTGACAATTTCGAGGGAGGAAAGGGATCAGAGTTCTTGGGTCGCCATGTCTGTTTGGTTCCTTCCTTGCGCCGAAACGGTGGGAGGGGTGGGGGGTGGTTTCCCCGCGTCCGCCCGGGTGCTCGCTAATTTTGGTTTTGGGCACTCACGTGCGCTTTGAGATTGGTGCTGGCCGTCGGATCGGAGAGGACGCTGGGGAAGGAAGGAGCGGCGTTTCGGCCCAACACGTGGCTTCAAGGTTTCCTTTTCGTCCGTGTAAAAATAGAACAAACGATCAATTTAGCATGGGGTAAAAAAGCAAGGCTTGCCTCAAATAGAGGAGCGGAGAATGGACAAAGCAGCCTAATATTCGTCACCCTGGGTGAGGAATAGTTATTCGTCATCCTGAGTCAGGAATAGTTATTTTTCACCCCCTTTCTATTTTAACGTCAGTGCATCGTATTTTTAAGTTTCGTAAATTTTGTCTTATTTCATACGTAAAAAGAGAACGTAAGAAAATATACACTCGTCATAAAAAATATTTTATGTTATGTAAAACCATAATATAAAACATACATAAAATGCGATATTGTTGGTCTTATAACCTATTTTTTTATTTTCTTATACCAAAATTTATGTAGCGAATTAATATGAATGTAACCATTTGTATTCCAAACATAATTTATTTATAAAGCTATCATAAGGTAATTGAAGAATTACTTATTCTGCATCCTGGGTGATGAATAGTATTAGTATTAGGTAAAACTGTGTCTACCATAGCTTGCCACAGAACTAGTTAAGTTTCCCTAAACTTCTAACGGTTCAAAAGTTAGCAAAAAATATGAAATAAATATGGGAGTATCTCTCTAATGTAATAAGATGATCCAACGGAGGGATTGTCAAAATATGCATCTATGTGTCCTCGACAAAAATAATAAGCATTTCAGCTCAGTGCGACATAAATATATACTGAACTATTTGTTTTTTTTGTCCAGGACACATACAGTTGTATTTTTTAATCCCTCCGTTGGATCATGTTATATTATAGGTGTGTTGGTTCAGTATTTTTTTCAGAATTTTTGAGAACTTTTGCACCGTTGAAACCCTTAACTAGTTCTGTGGCAAGCACTTGTAGAAAATCCTACTCCCCAGGACTTAGCAATATTTGATTGATCACAATTCGGTATATTCCATTTATAATAAAGGTTCCTAAGGAATTCATTATAGGAATGTTTTCGATAGAAATGGTTTGCTTTTGCACATCTAAACCAAAAATTAATCTCGCAGATACATATACTCCCTCCGTTCGGAAAAAGTTGTCTCCATGACATTTTTGCAAAAAAGCCCTTCACTTTTGTCCGACCAAACCCGCAGTCCTCGTCTTGCCGCTGCGTCACTCCCCTCCCCGCAGCTTCCCGACGTTGCGCTGCTCCCCTTCCCGCCGCGCCGCGCCGCGCCGGTGAGCTCCCCCGCGCCGCTGAGCTCCCTCGCCCCGCTGAGATCCCCCGCGCCTCCTCTCCCTCCTCCACGCCGCCGCGCCGCTCCAGTTCGCTGCGTAGCTCCTCCTCTCCCCTAAAAATCCCTTCTTCCGGTGAGGTTCTCTTCGACGAGGCGCCGCTCGATCTGGAGGATGACGACAAGTTGGCGCTCGATCTGGAGCATGGCGACGGCATGGGGCGGGCGCTCTCGTCCTCGAGCTCCTAATCCACCAGCTCCTCTTCCTCCTCCAGGCCCTCCTCAACATCACCGGCGACGACGGCATGGGGAAGACGACGACGGCGGCTGCGGAAGTCGACCCCAACGAAGGCGGATCCTCCTCAACATCCCAGGCTCCTCCTCCTTCAGGTCCTCCTCGTGCTCATCTATCTCATGCCAAGTCTGAATTTGTACTGCCAAGTCTGAAATTTTCATCTTTATTGTTAAGTCTGAAGTTAGCTGACATGCTTCTCTGACTTGACATGCTTGCAATTTTGGTCACTAAGAGTACTGCAGCTAGAGTATATCTCAATTTATAACAGCACATGTTGACCTTGCAGCAAGTTTACAAGGACATCATTTCTGTCAAACTAAAGCAAGCAAACACTTAACTGAATTTGACTGTACCAATTGAACAAAGCTGCAGGGTACATTATGTTAAAGATTTCCTACTTTAGTGATTTTTAGGGAGAGCACTTAAAAAATTTAGTCAGCATTGATTTATGAGGGAGTAGAATTTTTGACAAAAATGCTAGTGCTGTCTGTCTGTGCCTTCCAAGCCTACAAAGAGGTAGTACTGCATTTGTGTCAAATTTGATTTAGTCTTAATTTAGAGCTGCGTGTAGTGCAAACTGGATGATGTAGTGCTCTGAATTTGAAGCTTTAACAGTATGTGGATATAGTCTTGTTCAGATCTTACTGAAGAAGAGAGGGGTTAGTAGGCAGGTTACTTCAGATGCTTTGTTCAGATCTAACTGAATGAATAATTCAGTTAACTTTACAGGGGATCTAACTGACTGAATAAGTTTTAGGGACATGCTTTTATCAACTCTTAGTTAAGAGATTGTGGCAGTTTTCTGCAGTCTATCAGTTTGAAATTGACTTCCCTTGTTCGTATTTTACACTCATCTCTACCTGGAGAACAAATTCCTTAGTGCATAATCTGTAGCTCACCATGACAATACTGTCACATGAACAATTCAAAACAGTTAACTGAAAGTGTCTAAAAGTAGTTAAGTGTTTCCAGGATTTCTTTTTTCTTCGGCAAGGCATGATTTCTTTTTTCTTCTTCTTTTTTCTCTAGTGTGCCATGATTTCTTCAGCAAAGCATCAATATCTATTCCTATCAGTGGTTATCTAATTGAATTTTCACATGCTTCTATCAGTGGTTATCTAACTGAATTTTCACATGCTTCTATCAGTGGAAAACTTATATTGTTTGCTAACATTTTATAAACAAAACACATGGAAGCAACTCTATATTTGATCCATTTTGAGTAATTAATTTGGTACTCTGTTTGCTGTTGAATTCTGCAAGTCCTTCAGTCTAAGCCTATGAGTAACACTGCTTATTCACTAATTCAGTTTACTGTACAATTTTGTGCAGACTGAATATTGTGTGTGTGTAGCACACGCTCATCAAATTACAGACTGGATGATCCGCTGCTACTCTAATTCACCTCAATTTGACATCAATTTGATCTACACAACAAATTAACATCAATTTGAAACTGATTTCAGGGCGCTGGCTACCTTTCAGCAGCAGCAGAGGCGGCGAGGAGGAGCTGGGTCGCCTGGACGAAGAAGAAGAAATCAGCGAGGAGGAGCAGGTGGGCGGCATAGCAGGTGGGCGGCGGCGCTGGGCCCTGCGGTGGATGCACTGGTCACCTCGGTGCACGGCGGTGGAGCAACGGCGGCCGGGGGTCTTGCCCAACTCCTGCAGCAGAGTGGCTGGCCTTGGCGAGCCGGGTTGCGGCCGGGGATGCGAGAAGGACAACGAGTAGAGCCGACTGTGAGCCGTGGAATCGCCGCCTGTCGAGGTGTCGCTGCGGAGGAGCAGCTGGGCGGCGGCGAAGCTCGCCTCCGCAGCGCAGCTAAGCAGGGGCGGCGCAAGATGGCAGCTGCGGGACAGGTGGGCGGCGGCGCAAGTGGGACTTCGTCCTGGCTGATCCTACGGCGGCTGGGGCACGCGGTGCCCGTGGGCAACAAGGGGAGGCGGAGGCTGGGAAGGACCGATTAGCACGAGATTTAAAATAAAAAAGGATTTTTCTGCAAAATTACAATTGAACTATGCTGGTGACAACTTTTTCCGGACGGAGGGAGTAATTCAGAAGAATAGGTGAGTACTCTGTTTCACCACGGGCATGTGAAATTCCACGTGAACCAGGTCGTTTTCAGCAGGAAACGGAATGCGTCCCCTACGGAGCCAAGTACCACTGCACATTTCTTGATTCCCTCCCACGGGCAGAGAGAAGCGCAGGCAGAAGCACACGCTGCAAATCTTCCTTTAAGCACATTCCTTGATTCTCAGGTAGAGTAACAGGACGAGGTTCCTTTTCGCATTCTCAGGTAAAGTAACAGGAAGAAATTGCAAGTGTTGCCACATTTTTTTGATTCCACAATCGAGGCACAGTAACTTGAGAAGGAAACAAGTTTGTAAATCTAAGAAACCAGTCAGTTCAAGACCTGTCTCAACTTTTGATTACATCCAACTTGCGCGGCAAAGGCAGTCGTCCCACAACATATAAAAGGTAGAAACACATGATGTTCTATATCGTCGGGTCCGGGGGTGACAAACTCCGCCATGGTACAAGAAAACAGACAGTGTTTCGTTTCGCCTGACAGTCTCCTACTCTCATCTTAGTCCTTGCCAAAGTCGGCGCTGTAGTGTGCGCTGGACTCGAGCTTCTTGGCGTCATTCAACTTCCGCACCGCCTGCAACCATTTTGCCAGACATTGTAGTGAGTACCTGACTCAATTGTATTAGGATGAACAGGTAGAAAGGAATAGCAATCGACACCCCACCTTCATGAAGTCTTCGTGGATGACATAGTCCCGCTCTGCTCGAATGGCGGCCATGCCAGCCTCAGTGCAGACATTGCGAAGATCGGCGCCATTGAAGCCCTGGAACCATACGAGTTAAGGCTTCAGAAACACCAGCATGATGAGGTGGTAGTTAGCTTAACTATAAGAGTAACTCACCTCGGCCAACTTAACCACAGCCTCATAATCAATTTCACCATGCTTGGCGATACCAGCAGCGTGGATTTTCAGGACCTCGGTCCTGGATTGCTCATTCGGCAGCGGAATCTCTATCTTCCGGTCTAGGCGTCCAGGACGAAGGAGCGCAGGGTCCAAGACATCAGGCCGGTTCGTCGCCATGATCATCTTCACCTGTATAAGCAGTGGCACGCATGATTCACATAAGCAGATATTCAGCAACTCACAACACATGTACACTCCATAATAATAATTTAAGACAATCAATCAGGGACAACCAGCATATCTTCAACTTTCGAGTTCTTTTTTCTAATAAATATCTTTCTCAGGTTTCTACACAAAAGTTTCTCTTCCCCAAGATTAACACTGACCTAATCAACTACTCGATACAACAACTTTATGATGTAGGAAAGGCGGGTAGTTCATAGGGCAACTAAAGATAGATTGACTGTAACTAGAGTGCAGTGCGGTGCACATTAAGAATTCAGCATTCAATTGATCAGTATTCAGTAAGCATTGTATCACTGTACAATACCTACTCTTATTCAATAAACATATGTTTCACCATAGCTGCCACAAAACAGAAAATAATGTGTACCTTTCCGAGCTCATCGAATCCATCCAACTGATTTAGGAGCTCCATCAATGTCCGTTGTATTTCACGATCTGCACTAGTGCCCTCACTGAATCTTCGGCCACCAATGGCATCAATCTCATCCATGAAAATAATACATGGCTAAACAAAAGGATCAGAAAAGAAGATAATGTTAATGAGCGATATTAGTACAAAATAGAAGAGAAACAAACATATAACTTCAAATGCATTCACAGATGTGCATAGTAGCAACTTAAAATGCGAAGATCTTCTCCATGGACTTTTCTGGCAGAGTAAACATAGAGTTTGGGTGCTCTGTATCGCAGACTGCTAGCAACTTTTGCTCTCCTAATGAATGGAGAATCTACAGCTAATTCACGCACAAACCTAATCTAACAACTGGAGCAGAATATATTTGGCAATGAGGGAACAAATGTAATAGCTTACATTATTATGATTTTAACAGCTTTCAAATAATAGACAGAATATTAAGGATTACTAGTAAATGTACAAAGAAACAGAACATAATGAGACTTACTTGATGCTCACGTGCATAGTTAAACATTTCTCTTATAAGACGGGCACTTTCACCAATATATTTGTCAATGATAGCACTTGAAACGATCTGCATTAGCAGAACACATTAGTTCAACATAGTACCATAATGATATATCCAGATAAAAGGTTGCTAATAAATAACAGCATTAAAGAAAAGAAAAGCAGACCTTCAAAAAGTTAGCATCGATGTTGCTAGCAATGGCTCTAGCAAGCAATGTCTTTCCCGTTCCAGGTGGGCCATAGAGCAGAACACCCTTGAATGAGTAAAGTAGCAGTTAGTACATCTCAGGATGGTGATAATTGTATCATTATTTGTCTAAGCTAACTGCATAATACGGCACATCTTTTCTTCAAACTACCTTTGGTGGTTTAATCCCAACGCGAAGAAACAATTCTGGATTCATAAGAGGTAACTCGATGGACTCCCGCAGCTCCCTTATTTGATCCGACAGTCCACCTACAGCTGAGTAACTGACATTGCCGGGGTCTTCGTGTAGCATATTATAGACCACGGGGTCAACCTAAGCAAAGGAAATTAGTACAATCTTAGTGTAACCCCTCACATTAGAAACAGAATTTCAAAACTGTACTGAACTAAAACATAAACGAAAAATCAACAATCACATACCTCACGTGGTAGAGTGCGCATTATTGTTAATGTTGTCATGTCAAGGACAACTCGTGTTGCAGCTGTCAGCTTTTCTTTGTCAACTTTGCTTCTGCAGCCAACCACATAACGTGGGCCACTACTGGCTTTGACGATAACTACAACAAAAACAAGTTTCAGTTGCTTTGCTAAAACTAAGTACATTGTTGCTGAATTGAGAAGGAAAGGTTCAGTTTGTCTAATTCACATCTAGATGTTTTTTAAGGATGTCACTTCTAATCTCCCACAAATATATAATGCAGCAACAAGAAACAAAAAATAAACTAAAAGGGCAGCCCCAGTGCATGTAGCTCCCGCTTGCGCAGGGTCTGGGGAAGGGTCCGACCACTTTGGGTCTATTGTACGCAGCCTTTCCCTACATTTCTGTAAGAGGCTGTTTCCAGGACTTGAACCCGTGACCTCATGGTCACAAGGCAGCAGCTTTACCACTGCGCCAAGGCTCCCCTTCAAACAAAAAATAAACTAGGACAAAAAAAAATAGACCACAAACAGAGTGGACATCAGCTTAGATGTGACATAGTCATGTCACATCTAGATGTGTCCTAGACAGACCCGGAAAGGTTTACTGCCATGAGCAAACATATTACAACAACTTAGGGAGAAAAACAAGCAATGTAATGATGAAACTAATGGCCAAAAAGAGAATGGATATTATCATGTTTGTACAGAGATAAATCTGTTCTAAAACCAACAAAAGTAAGTCTTTTCACTTACATCTTTCACTGTCCAATGGTCGAAGTACTTCACCAATGATTTGGCCCACACTCTGCAAGGACTTCAAATCATCTTCAGTTTTATCGTAATCTTTCTTTGCCTTTTTTAGGTTTTCCCTACCTGCATATAAATAAGTAGATTTATCAAACAAAAGCCATCTAATAAAACCATGAGTACTGCTGTCCATAGTTCAACATAATCTTCAATAAAAAGAAGTTGCATCAAACATTGAACCTGGGGACAACAGGACAAGAGAAACAAGATATTATGCATGTGCCAGATCGAGTACATAATTTGTATATCAAAATGTCAGGTCAGGTTATCAATCCAGTCAGTCCAATTGACAAGGATTAAGGGCTAGTTTGGTTCGCTTCCACGTCGCGGGATGCCTGGCCTGGAGCTTCCCTGAAGTCTGCCTGAAGTTCGTTTGGTTGGTGTCCTGAGAATTTTGGTGCGAGCCTGGCCTGAATCGCCCAGGCATGAGATTAGCCTGCCAGGCGTCCCCTTCCATCCGCCTGGACGGCAGGCAACATCAGCCTGATGCTGATCCAGCAGGTTATAGATGAGTTATGGGCTGCTTTGTCAGTTTTATGTTTGTTTATTCCTCCCAGGCCCAGCACACAATCCAAACAGCTACCTCTCCAGGCTGCCTGGCCAGGCTAGAAAATTGAAAATCTCAGGCACATACCAGGCAGCAGCTTTGCCCAGGCATGCGGCCCAGGCTTGCAACCAAACTAACCCTAAATCCAGGTTCTAGGTAAATTACACACACATAGCATGAGCCATAGACGTTACTCGTTTTATTTTATTTTTACTGTCGGTTGGAAACTGGCATCATCTCCAACATATGTGTTTAACCATCATTTTCACAAATTACATGTTTGCAAATATTAGTACAAATATAACAATACCAAAGCTATTTAATCTATCACACCTTTAAGTTGTAAAGGCTCTGAGCCTCACCCAAACCATGTTGCATCAAAACCAAATCATATAAGGCAGACGCATATAAGACCAAGCATAACCACAAGAAAGAGTGAAAGGTCGCCCACTGATGGAACAAACATAAACCAAGGAAAGGACGAATCCATGGAAGCTCATGTTCATCACCATATCACCAGCAACACAATTCAAGGTGTGAAGGATAAAGTAGAAAAATGAACAGGCACATAAACTTGGATACATGTAGTTTTGGGGCCTTTCCGCGTATGATACTTAATAGGGCTGGTCCCAAATATATATATCAAAAGAAATGAAACATGTGCACCAAACCTGAGCTCCTTGACACCTTAACAGCACAGAGTTATAGGACCTTATGGAAAGAAGAGTGATCACCCAGCATCTCAATCACTCGAACTAATAACTACTGCAGTTGCCTTTGCCTCACCACGATGGAAAACACTATGATGAACTGCCGAACCAGATAATCAATTACATCACGACCACAAATTAGGCCAAATGACTAGCTAAATATTACTATGATATTCATGTTTAGCACTCAACGCCAATTACGAATTCACATCCTAAATCAAAACGCAAATGGTAGAGCAAACATATCTAGGACCGAACCCCAGCTCATCCTAATCTACTGCTCAACGAGAATAACACTTCATCCCAAATCCTCTTGTTCGTATCTTGCAAAATCAACCAAATCTCACCTAAATCAAAGACGGCGCCCTAAGAACCTAAACACCACATGTTCAGCAGGCAATCAGCAACCGACCCACTAGCCTCCCTCGTCGAGAACCAACAGCCCAAGCCGTGGTCGAGGCAGGCTGAGGCACGCAACTCCTGAACCCAAATTGGCCAAACCAAAACCCTAGCCCACAACCCTCCTAATCGCCACGGAAAACCAGATCCCGTCCTCCACAATCGACCAGCACCCGCGGATACCTCGGGGCGAGCCAACTAGTCTGAAACCCGTAGATCGAACAAGTAGGATCCACAGCGCATGAGATGGGAGGGGGGAGGGAGGGGGGAGGCGCCGTGTTACCTGTGCGGACCCTCGTCTCTAGCTCGCGGCAGTTGAGGAGCTTGTTGCGGTACTCCGTGGTGACGGTGCGCCGGCGGGCGGCGGCGGCGTCGTCGGCCTCGGCCATATCCACCTCGGCGGCGCGGCTCTGCTTTGCTTCCTTCCCAAGATGAGCGGAGCGGGGGAGGACTCGACGCTCTCCGTCCGCGGTGTCCTGGCTTTATTATGGTCGCTAACCGTAGTCCGGCGCCACCGTGCTTTCTGGTTTCTTTCTTTTCGGACGGGCAAAATACGAACCTAAACTGAACTCTATTTAGATTTACAAAAGCTTCCAATCTTTCTTTGATAGAAAAACTATCAATCTAACATCTTCAATCATGGCAGTATAAAGAACAACAGAGATAATAAAAATTATATGTCCATGGACCATCTAGCGACGAGTACAAATACTGAAGCGAGCCAAAAGCGCACCGCCGTCATCGCCCCTTCGTCACCGGAGTCGGACAAATCTTGTTGTAGTAGACAGTCGGAAAGTTATCGTGCTAAGGCCCTGTAAGAGCAGCGCACCAGAGTAGCAAAAATAGCTAATGAAAAAATTCATAGATCAGAAGGATCAAACCTGTAAACACCCAAACGTAGATGAACTAGGATCGGATCCAAACAGATCCACCGAATACCAGCACTGACCGAATCCCGCGAGATCTGACGGAGAAAAACCTCCACACGCCCTCCATCGGACGGGAATAGAATGTGGGAGGCATTATTCCTACTAAGGAACATCATCGCTGCCACACAAGTTCAACCAAAACGATGAATCTAACAAGAACGAAAACGGGGTCCCTCCCGCTGGCGGCGACGACGAAAGAAGAAGAGCTTTCCTTTTGGAAGAGGTAAAAGATAAGTATGTTGATATTCGTCTTCTTTTATCTTTTTTCAGGGACTATTTGGATTCATAATGGACCAAAACTGACATTTATTTACATAGATAATTTTAGAGTTTTAATTTAGAATACCGTTTTCTATGAAATCATGATTTTAAATATTTTGATGTGTCTTTTTTAGTGTAATACATGTCTCATTCATATTATAGAGATCATAGTACAAGCAACATAAACAAGGACCTGACAAAACTAAAAATACTATTGAACGCTAGCCTTTACACAAAGGAATATCAGCCTAGAAGGAAAATTACAATCAAGACCGAAGAATCCTCTGAGCTTGATACCAATGTGTGACACATGTTTCTGGCACCACCACAATAGCCACCAGAGAAAAGAATAATGAATCGTCTCCTCGCCCAAGCTCAACACGGCTCCATCGCTAATATGCGGCTTTGTGGACTTTCAAGGTGGCTCGTCAAAGGTGAAACCATTACCTTTGAACGAATCGGACCTAGGGTAACACCTCAAACACTGCATCAAACTCATGCACCCCACACGACCAAGACGTCGGAGGAGGAAACCACACCTCCCATCCACGAACCCAGCACATGATCCACCATCTTCCGGATGTTATCAATGTGGACCACAATATGCATCCGCTTCCGGACTACCTCCCAAGCTCCACACGGGCCCAACGACAGAGCCCGAGGACACAAGTCCAACACAAGGATGTCACACCATCCTTGCTTGAACTGATTGGTTTTCAAATCCATCCCCAATCTCCTCGTTACGGAAGGATCTGAAGAATCTTTATTCAATGCCGCCATCATCGTCGTCGAAGCCAAGACGATGAACAGCATAAAAACTAAGCTATTATGGGCTAAAACTATCAACACACATAGATCCGGCGACCCCCCTCACCACCGACGACCGACGAAAGCCGACGGAGGACATAGGCGGAGAAACTCTCCTGGTGAGAAGTGATGGCGAGATCGCTGATACGTACATTTTGCATCATGTTTACCTACTGTTATTTATAATGTTTTATGCATAATAATGCTTTTTGTAGTAATTCTAATGCCTTTTCTCTCATAATATGCAAGGTTCACACAAAGAGGGAGAATTCCGACAGCTGGAAATCTGGACCTGAAAAAGCTACGTCGGGCTACCTATTCCGCACAACTCTAAACGAGCTGAAACTTCACGAGGAATTTTTATGGAATAAATAAGAATTATTGGAACGAATAACTACCAGAGGGGGCCCACCAGGTGGGCACAACCCACCTAGGCGCGCCCCGGTGGGTTGTGCCCTCCTCGGCCCACCTCCGGTGCCCATATTCTGGTATATAAGTCATTTTGACCTAGAAACAATGAGGAGAGGACTTTCGGGAGGGAGTGCCACCGTCTCGAGGTGGAACATGGGCATGAGCACTTTTGTCCTTCGGCGGAGCGATTCCGCCGGGGGAACTTCCCTCCCGAAGGGGGAAATCATCGTCATCATAATCACCAACAACCCTCTCATCTTGGGGAGGCCAATCTTCATCAACATCTTCACCAGCACCACCTCCTCTCAAACCCTAGTTCATCTCTTGTGTTTAATCTTTGTACCGGAACCTCAGATTGGTACATGTGGGTGACTAGTAGTGTTGATTACATCTTGTAGTTGATCACTATATGGTTTATTTGGTGGAAGATTATATGTTCAGATCCATTATGCTATTTAATACCCCTCTGATCATGAACATGTTTATCACTTATGAGTAGTTACTTTTGTTCTTGAGGTCACGGAAGAAATCATGTTGCAAGTAATCATGTGAAACTGATATGTGTTCGATATTTTGATAATATGTATATATGTTGTGATTCCCTTAGTGGTGTCATGTGAACGTCGACTACACACTTCACCATATTTGGGCCTAAGGGAATGCATTGTGGAGTAGTTATTAGATGATGGGTTGCTAGAGTGATAGAAGCTTAAACCCTAGTTTTTGCGCTACTTTGCAAGGGACAGATTTGGATCCAAAAGTTTAATGCTATGGTTAGATTCTATCTTAATACTTTTCTCGTAGTTGCGGATGCTTGCGAGGGGGTTAATCATAAGTAGGAGGTTTGTTCAAGTAAGAACATCACCTAAGCACCGATCCACCCACATATCAAATTATCAAAGCAGTGAACACAAATCAAGCCAACATGATGAAAGTGACTAGATGAAATTCCCGTGTGCCCTCAAGAACACTTTGCTTATTATAAGAAACCGTTTTGGCCTGTCCTTTGCCACAAAAGGATTGGGCTATCTTGATTCATATTATTTGCCGTTCCCGTTACGTGCTCGTTACAAATTATCCTGCTACCAAATTATCTGTTACTTACAATTTCAGCGCTTGCACACATTACCTTGCTGAAAACCACTTGCCATTTCCTTCTGCTCCTCGTTGGGTTCGACACTCTTACTTATCGAAAGGACTACGATTGATCCCCTATACTTGTGGGTCATCAAGACTCTTTTCTGGCGCCATTGTCGGGGAGTGAAGCGCTCTTGGTAAGGAAAATTTATTACTACGTGCTGAAATTTATTGTCACTTGTTACTATGAAGAACAATCCTTTGAGGGGTTTGTTCGGGGTATATTCACCTCGATCAGAACCACAATTAGTTGCCCTCAGCCCACTGCACCTACTAAAAATACTGAATATGAAATTCCTTTGGGTATGATAGAACAACTGCTAGTTAATCCTTATGCAGGAGATGGAACCGAACATCCTGATATGCGCTTGATATATGTGGATGAAATTTGTGGATTATTTAAGCTTGCAGATTTACCCGGAGATGAAACTAAGAAGAAGGTTTTCTCTTTATCTTTGGAGGTAGAGGCATTGACATGGTATAGGCTATGCGATGATATTGGATCTTGAAATTGGAATCGGTTGAAATTGGAATTCCACAAAAAAATATCCTATGCATCTAGTTCATCGTGATTGGAATTATATATATAATTTTTGGCCTCGTGAAGAAGAAAGTATCGCTCTAGCTTGGAGGAGGCTTAAGTCAATGTTATATTCATGGCCCAACCATGAGCTCTCAAGAGAAATTACTATTCAGAATTTTTATGCTCGGCTTTCTCATAATGATCGATCCATGCTCGATACTTCTTGTGTCGATTCCTTTATGAAGACTATTGAATTCTGATGGAATCTTTTAGAAAGAATTAAATTCAACTTTGAAGATTGGGAACTCAACGAAGTTAAATAGTCAGGTATTAAGCTTAATTTTGATTGTGTTAAATCTTTTATGAATACATATGCTTTTCAGAAGTTTAGCACTAAATATGGACTAGACTGTGAGATAGTAGCCTCCTTTTGTGAATATTTTGCTAATCATGTTGATCTCCCTAAGGAGAAGTGGTTTAAATATCACCCACCTATTAAAGAAGAAATTAAATAACCGGTAATAGCTAAAGATGAAACTACTATTTATAATGTTGATCTAGTTGTTCCTGCTGCTTATATTGAAAAACCACCTTTACCTGTTAGGATGAAGGAACATGCTAATGTTTCAACTGCGGTCAATAAAAGTTATATTAGAACACCTAAACCAGCTGAACAAATCAAAGTAGAACCTAGTGTTGCTATGGTTAAGGATCTCCTGGTTGAAAAATATAGATGGGCATGTTATTTTACTTTTTGTGATGAAGCTGCTAGAATTGCCAAACCTAATGAAAAGGATAGACATAGACCTGTTGTTGGCATGCCTGTTGTCTCAGTTAAGACAGGAGATCAATGTTATCATTGTTTATCTGACATGGGTGCTAGCGTGAGTGCTATTCCTTTTACCTTATATCAAGAAATTATGAATGACATATCACCCGCTGAGATAGAAGACATAGGCGATTTTTATGAATTCTTCACTGAGGAATTTCGGGGTGAGGAAATTCCTAAGCGAAGAATTACTTGCAGCAGAATAAGTACTCAGATGCAGACATGACATAACATAAGTATGGACATCATGATGAAATGAAAACAAACACAGAGTACAGAAAGCGTAAGCACAAGATACAACAGGGTGAAGACAAATAGACTGAAGAAATTGAACTGAGGAAATTGAGAAAGTCTTCAGTCAAAGCCTTCAAACAGATATGAACAAGCACACAACATAGTAATGAGGAAATGAAAGGGTTGAGGAAATAGAACCAGTTAGCTCAGTGAAGACAATGATTTGGTAGACCAGTTCCAACTGTTGTGATAGTCGTA